TTTTTATTTTCGCTTTACGACGTTTTTGCTCTACAGCAATTTCGCTGGAACGAATTAACGTCGTTAAGCAAGGCACCACTGTAATTGGTACACTGCATTACTTTAAACTGTGAACCTCCTTAAGAGAAGTGGCAGGAAGGTGACATATACAAATCATAATATTTGTTTAGGAGGGGCTGTAGCTGATATATCAGCCCAAAAGCACTATCCCATGCATGTTTAATCAGAAGGAAGTCCGCCTGTGTTCAGTGGGACTCATTCCCAGTTAAACATGCATCAAGTTGTAGGCTGAGCTAATCAAGGGCATTTTGTGCCACAAATGCTGTGATAAACTGAAGAGGTGCTCTGTTCATTACAGCCCTTGTGTGAGATTCACACTACCGATTTGCCACCCGCTCTTCGCACACAACCACAACACATGCAACCACCTATACAGAAGTGCTGCTAGTTCTGGTGTTTTACTAGGGATCCCAGGATCTGGGATTGCCTCTGTTAATTGTGCCTTCCAGCCAGAGCCACCGTAACCCTGCTGGTTTCCTTTTAACATAGCATAACATTCCTAACCGTGGACTTACTTAAATTTGTGGATGATAGGTGGAAAGAACTGCCTTGATGAAACTACAGTACTCGTTAAGTTTCCAGTGTAGCCTGCAGGTATGTGGTATAATGACTTGCTTGACTCCTATAACAAATTAAAAATAATGATGAGGAGAGTTTAATTTAAACAAAAGAAAAGGAATTTGTTTGAACAACAAGGAGGTAGGGAGAAAGGAAAGATAAGACTTTGGATGCAAAATAGGAGCAGATATGAAGCTCTACTTTGTAATTCATTACCACACATTCACCCAACACTAGGTGACCACTGCTCTACAACACAACCCCAGCCCCTCTAACCAGTTGCCAAACCCAACTGCCACTCCTTTCATACTTAATCCTCAAAGTCATTCTCACCAACCAATCAGGACTGAGCACCATACATGAACATTCCATAACACATCCATCAACCACTCCAGGACTCCTCCCGTGAATGAAACTCTAACATGCATACATCTGCATAAACAACAATACACCATTACCTCAAGCTATGCACGCACACCCATACCTATTGGGATTGCCACAGATGCTACATGACCATTCACTAATTTTTCATAGAATCTCCAAGCATGTACCCTGCCTCTCTAAGCCAGAGTACGGCCCCATCTAGAGTTGGCTGCAAGAGTATGCATTTTTTGCTTTACAAATTTAAAACATATTGAAAAGACCACAGAGATTCTAGTCAAAACAAAACACAGCAAAAATAGCCAGACCACACAGCACTGGTCAGCCCACCCTGCATAAAAGGGCTTTCTTTTCCACTACTGGTTCATTTTTCTCATTTCTGAACAGAGATCCAGCTGGGGAAATACAGCCCATAACAGGACTAGACCCATCCATTGGAAGCATGGAAAAAGCAAAGACAAGTGCAGTCAAGGACTTGTCTCTTTTTAACAGAGAGAGCAATTCTATAGGACTCACTGAATCCCTGTGTTGATAGTTTTGGTTTTTCCTACACATCCCTCCCCCCAAAAAAGGGGGTAACAAACAGATGTTTGCTTTGTTTAAGCAAGCCTATAACTGACTTTTGGTGACCCCTTGGGATTCTCTACTCTCAAGCATCACCCATCTAAGAGGTTGCCCACTGCTGCCTTTTCCAGCTGGGTGAGTTATAGCCAAAAGAGCACCAGATGCTCCCCATCGCTGGCCAGCCACCTTCTAACAAGCAGCCACCTCCATGAGCAGCTCTCCTGGGGATGGGGCAGTAAATACATAAACTGTGGAGAAGCATGGATTATTGGGCTGCCCCATTCATCAAGGGCCAACCCTTCCTCAACCTCAGTGACATGCATCCCTCTGGGGCTGAGAGAGGGAGAGTACACTCCAATCTTGATTGTTTCTCTTTTTATGAATTATTCAAGGAGCCTCTTTTAGCATTCAGGGTAAGTCCCTGGTTGCTGGAGTCCTCCGTCCCTTCATCTACACAGTGCCCCATTGCCATGACCCCACATTGCAGGGAATAACTGAGTGATGGATGGGCTGCCTTATTGGGAGGCCAACCGAGCTCCTGCACATTGATTTCTTCCAATGTGAGGCTTTACATCATCCATAGATTTTGATCCCTTCCCCCCTTCCCTCACACCCACACCCACACCCACACTGTTTCCCTTCTCTGTCTATTTGTCTTGTGCTCTACTCTGCTATTCCTAATGACACAGCAGTTCAGGCAGGAACCATTTATTGATGCTGCTGCATTCGCAGGCACTACAGACAAACTTCCTTGTCATCACTGTGCAGCAGAAAGGCAACAGTGATCTCTCCCTCCCCACCCACCCCCTTCGCTTGCTCTGTAGTAAAACCAATTTCTGATTTCCTCCTCATTCTGGTGTCCAAGAATTCACGTGCAACCTAGACTGGTCTACTCACAAAACAAACCTGGAAGCTTGGTTGATACTTTTTCACCCAATGAAGCTATCCTTAATTAAGTCTGTGCTGAAACTGCTGTTAAACCACTGTGTATGGAAAAAGAAATAGAATCCAAAGAGGGTTTTGCATCTCTGTAGAACCTACTTATTTTACTGTTGTGTCTGCTCCTTCCCAAGCCATCATCGGAGTAGGGGGCCCTCATCCTGAAATTCCCCAGTGAGGTGCCTTCCTCTGCTCAGACCCCACTCAGCCCTCATCTCTGGTGTTAGCATGGTCACTTGTTGAACAGCATTAACTGTTCAACAGTTAACGATTGTGGATTCACAATTCTTGAATCCAGATGGCTAAATGTTGTTTATACTGTTTCGAAGTGAATGGTGAGGCAGAAGCTTCCTCAGAAGAGGTCTACCCAGAAGCCTTCAAAATAAGAGTAGCTTCCACAAAACCCCTTGGTGACATGTTGCACTGCAGATCTACCCGAATCACTCGACATAGCCAGCAGGGATGGCTGAGGGGTCTGACGCCGAGGGAGGACCGGAAGGAAAAAATAAGAAACCGGGCCTTCTCGGTGGTGGCCCCTCAGCTGTGGAACAGCCTCCCTACCGAAATTCAGCTGGCACCCTCGCTAGGCATTTTCAAAAGCCAGTTGAAAACTTGGCTATTCAAGCAGGCCTTCCCTTCAGTCAGTTAAGTGACTCTTATTTTTTTTCTTTTGATTTATGCCATCTGGAACTATTTATTTTACATTAATTGTTAAATATTTTAAATTGTTTTTATCGTATATGTTGTGAGCTGCCCAGAGTAGCCTATGTCAGATGGGCAGCATATAAATGCAATAAATAAATAAATAAATAAGTAAGTAAGTAAGTAAGTAAGTAAGTAAGTAAGTAAGTAAGTAAGTAAGTAAGTAAGTAAGTAAGTAAGTAAGTAAGTAAGTAAGTAAGTAAGTAAGTAAGTAAGTAAGTAGATAAGTAGATAAGTAGATAGACAGATAGATAGACAGATAGATAGATAGACAGACAGATAGATAGATAGATAGATAGATAGATAGATAGATAGATAGATAGATAGATAGATAGATAGATAGATAGATAGATAGATAGAACTGCTGTGATATGTACTGTTTTCCCATCAAATAACCTGCATTTGTTCAGCAAAATAAAATACGTGCTGTTTTTGATCTGTGGAAAGAATGTTGAGTCCTGTGGCTGAAAGAGGATGGCCTAACTACCGTTCAGTGTCTACAGTCAAGTGTGTAAGGTCAAAAGTTGAGATGACGCTATAGTCCAAATGTGAGAAAGGAAAGGAAAATCATTATAAAGCAGAAAACATAATAAACAAATTTAGAAGCAAGATTTGAGGTAGCCCAATGAAGTGGTTGCAACTGGCCATTCTGTCGCCTGCTGTTCTGGGAGTTGTCATCTGAAAGAAATTCGCCAGCTTTTCCAATCTCTGGTTAACATCACTGTCTACACACAAAGTGCCACAGGACAGCTCGCGTCTTGGGACTGAGACAGGCCTAGTAACCAGGGCAAGGTTGGCTTAATTTGCTCCCCCTACTGGCCACCGCTCCTTGGTAGAATGTAAATAAAAGTCCAAAACAGAGCAGAGCGAGAAGGAGGACACAAAATCAACAACAGCTGCAGAAGATAAGATTGTTCCCCAGAATGGCTCCTCCAAAGAGCTACTCATAAAGCAGAGGACAGGAGAAGAAGGAAAGAACTCCCAAGCACTGACCAGATGTAGTGGCTCTGAGGGCTGCACTCTAGACTGGGTTTCAAAATGGGGATTGCAGAGAGAACAAATGGGTTACTGGTTGGCATAGCAGGTATCAGATCATACCTACTACTGAGATCCATTTTCTGATCACATGGCTGGCTCCCACTTTTCTTTTTAATGCCCTGCAGCACCAACAATAAACTATATACCCTGAATATCTGTGTCCGAGTTGCACCATTTATTCTGTGTCCAAAATGCTGGGCTTCAAACAATAGGTTCTGTTTTGTTTTTTACACAATGATTTGGGTGGCAGGCAGATTATTGGAAGAAATGGAGTGCAGATTGAGGTGTGGGCGGTGTTTGGTAAAGATCCTAGGTAGAGATGGGGTTATTCATATTCGTATACGAATATTCCTGCACAGGTGGCGTTAATGAGGGTCCAGCCTCATGGGACTGGACAGTCCGCTCACCAATCCACCGTGGACTCAGACGGTGCGATTCAGTGGTGTGCACAATCCACTCACCACTCTTCGACCTTGCAACGAGGCTTGTCCTCCCGCCTCCTGCCAGGAGTAGCAAGCGGATCGCATGCCGCAGAGCCATTCGTAGAATTGCGCCATAATACGTCTGTGGTGGATTGGTGAGTGGACCGTCCAGCCCCATGGGGCTGGACCCTCGTTAATACCACCTGCACGGGGATATTCGTATTCATATATGAATACAAATACCCCCATCTTTAATCATGGGTTAATTTCTGTGATACAGAAATAAGCAGGTTATCAAATGGGCATGACAGTGTCTCTTTGCCATTCTCGTTTCAGGTTCAGTGAAGCTACGTGCGTTCCGTTGTGATGAGCACGCCTGCAATCCTGCTGTGGGGAATCTGGCGACAGGCAGAACACCAATCACACTGACCACCTGTGGGCAGAACAGCACTGAATTGTACTGTTTTTACCCTGACCACCGCCTCTTCCACCAGGCCTCCCACAGTTGTGGACAGCCCAGGTGCACCAAGTGTAATGCCAACCAGCCTGATAATTCGCATCTCCCCTTGGCCATGACAGATGACTTCTTCGTAAACCCAGCATCCTGGTGGCAATCTGCGCAAGGGGTACACCGAGAGGAAATCAGGCTGGATTTCGAAACAGAGTTCTACCTGACCCATGTCATTGTGGTGTTCAAGTCTCCTCGGCCAGCAGCCATGGTGCTGGAGAGGTCCCAGGACTATGGTCAGACCTGGAGGCCCTATAAATATTTCTCTGTCAACTGTATGGCCACTTTTGGTCTCCCAGACGATGCCACGAAGGAGGGATCTCTGTGTACGTCCAGGTATTCAGATGTGGTGCCTTGCACCAGGGGAGAGGTAAGGAAGCGATGGCCACCGGAATGTGACTGACTTTTCAATATTCACCTCACCTTGTTAAATTACAATTAACAAAAGTGCTTTAAGATAGCCTTCCCTATCCTGACACTTTTCAAATGTATTGGATGAGAAATATCACTGTTAGACTGCAGAATTCGTACACACTGGGAGGGTGCCACAATGGAGAAGACAAACGCCTCCAATAGTTCTTTTGGAGGAATCAGGGGAAAAAAACTGCACCTCTTGTGGGCAATTGTGGGTCTTCCAGGAGGAGCTTTTGTTTTGCATAATATGCCTGATCAGCTACTGATGAGATCAATATTTTTCAAAGAGTGACGAAAGGAGCCCAGTCCTTAAGGGTAAGGTTTATTTTGTTGTGCTTGTGTTTTTTTGGTTTTGTTTCACTTTGGATTTGCTCATGGGCTACAGGAACTCCCCATCCTGTCTGCCTGCCCGCTCGCTCCCCGCCTCCTGTACACCCCCCCATGCATGTTCAGAGGTCAATAATAATTATAAATAAATAGCAATATATTTTCACAACAAAAAAACAAACAAAAAAACCCCCACAGAAATAGAATGCTGGGTAGAGGCTACCGGGAAACAAAGTAAGTCTATAGATGGATTGGTAATAGAGTTTAGCAGATTTAAAAAGTTTTAAGAAGAATTGTTTTAGACTAAAGGCAATTTCTACATTTCTCCACAGTTTTTAGGTGTATTCTTATTGCTTTTTGAGGCAGATGGTGTGTATGTGTGTTGTTGTTTTCAATGCCCCTCTGCTCTGGGAAAACTTCAGTGTCAAGAATACCTACAAATCCAGATGAAGTTCAAGTGTTTCTGAACAATAGATTTATAAAAGGTTAGACTATAACAGGATTTTAATTTGAAAGAATAAAGGCTGGGGAGAGGGAGCAGAAGAACATTTCAAAAGGTATACCAGAAATAGTATAATAAGTGCTAATTAGAAAAATAAGTGAACAGTTGTGAGAAAAGGGCACATTTCACATAAAGACAAAATCATTGGGGAAAAAGGAAATGCCTAGAGAATCACATCCTCAGAAATCCAGAATGCTTGGATTTGGGGGCTTCTGGAAAGGGCAGAAGGGGACATAGACAAATGGATTTGGAGAGTTACAGAAACAAATAATCTGCTACATACATTGCAAGCAGATATTGGATTCAAACCAGTTCAATAAATTTCAGGTTTCTTTTCTATGAGACAGAGGCATTATGATTGAGCATCAGATTAGACACTCTTAGGAAACTGGCTGGGCAGACTTCATGACTTTAACACTATGTGAGTCTGCTGCTCCATGTCCTCTTTGCTCTCAACATATAGGTCTTCGCCATACAGTATATGGACTTTGACTTAGAAGGAAAGTTCTCTCTAAACTGTAGTATTATTACCCACTGCTCATATAGTTCTTACTCTTCATCCTGTTCCTGCCCTTCCAAAATAAAGGATAGGACAGTGTCTTGTATTTGATCTTGTGACAACAGAATCGGATACATATTTGTCCAAAGGTCAGCCCCACTGAGTCTGGTGGGAATTAATCATATTGCTGTTTTCAGAGAGAATGAGAGATTTCGCGTCAGTTCACTGGTGAAGCAAGTTCAGCTGGTGGGCGGCAAGGCAAAGAGAGATATTCAGAATGAATTTCAAGCATAAGCACAGAATGTGTGTGTGTGTGTGTGTGTGTGTGTGTGTGTGTGTGTGTGTGTGTGTGTGTGTGTGTGTGTGTGTGTGTGTGTGTGTGTGTGTAATTTTGAGAAGTCAGCCTTTTAGTTTTAGTTTGACCTTCCTTATGATGATGAAATGGAAAATGGGATCAAACGCTGAAGCTTACAGGAAAGTACTGGTGGAGACGCCTATGGAGCTTAAGGTCTCAGATGAGATAAAAAAAAAACCACAGGAAGTGAAATGTGATGAGTTTTTTCATACTGTCCGCTCATGCATTTGTGGGATCTGGGAAATTAGAAGCACATTTTTAATAATGTGGAGTATCCGGAAATGAAAATAAGAAGTCTTTGTGAAAGGACTTTGGAACAAGGGAAGGCCATCTGTTGTGACATTGTGTTTCAAAGCTGGAAGAACAACAAGTTGTCAGCAAAGACCTCCATTACGGAGTGGAAAGACTTCATTTGCATGGTTGTTTATTTACTTCTTGGTAGAATGTAGAAAAGGTTCAACCATCAAAAAGTCATTCATTTGATCTGGAAATCTGTGTGACAGATGATACCAATGAAGTGGGCTGGAACGAGCCTAGTAATGGAATTCACTAGGGGAAGAGGAATTGTGTGTGTCTGAGAAAAGTAACCTGTCACTATGGCAACTTGCTGAATGTACCTTGCTTAACAGATCTGTTCAAGACTTGCTGTCTCACCTTCTGTGACCTCTTAAAGTGAGGAAGATGCCATGTGGTCTCCTTTAAAAAACATTTTAAAAATACTGAAAAAAAACAGCAACAAACAAACCCCACAGGGGAACAACTAATGCATTTTCTAACATTTTCTGTTAAAGCTGAATGAAGCTGTGGTTCAAATATGGCTCAGCTGTTTGCTCCAGAATTCACTACTGTGACTCTGGATAAAATAAGCCTGTGAAAGCCCTATATGAGCTTTGCATTGGTCATCTCATGGGATCCTTTAGCTACCTCATGTTGAGCCACAAGGAGGACAGGAGCTCTTTCCATTGAACGTCTGCAGTCTGTACCAGTGTAAAAATCCTCATCCATTAAAGTCCCTGACCCTGCTATCAGATAGAGCAAGATAGTCAGCCAGGTCAAGAAGGTGCTCAGAAGCATCAGCAACTGTCAGAAGAAAAAATTATCAGCCACATAGCCAACCTTGTATCCATAAGCTGGGCTGCTGCCCTCCCATTGCCAACTGTGCAGAACAGTTAGTAATCTTCTACCCCAACAGCCTTTTTTCTTCAAGGAATGGATGGAAGCCTCCATTTTGTTCATTGCCTCAGGCAACAAAATACCTTGGACCAGCCCTGGTCCTGATAAGTTATAGTTAGGTTTGCAACACCCTAGTTGGAATAAACATACAGCTATTTACAGTTAAATAAATATGCAATGATCACTGTTAGGGAGTTATCACAATGAATTTTAATGGAGAATTAAGTAATTGATAGGTTGCAGAGAATCTAATGCATAACAAGTACCTAAGGCAGGGAATCTGAAGCAGAACAATACAAGTCTATAAACCAGACTTCATTGGTGAAATTAGTTTACAAGTGCATGGATGACTAGAGTGGGTTGAGTCTCAGTTTCTGAGAGGTTGCAAGGACCAGGGCTGAACACCTCGAGGCATCAGAGTTTCTGGGAACAGTTGAGAAGAAAGATGAGAAGAGAGCGTCTGAAATAAGATTTGTCTAAACTTAAAAGGAGCAGAGCAGCTGCTTTATGAGAGAGATGCAAATATCAAAATGCTCTGTATGGAATAATAGGAAGAACAGAACTGGGAAATTTAGCATGGACACATATTAACACATTTCATAATACTGGAAGTTTCTTTTGACTTTCTCTCCCATTTCCTTTTCTCTGCCCACAAAATCAGATTACATTCTGTGCCATGGCTGCTTCTTCTGAAAGAAGCTGGTGTGTCAGAGTAGAGAACAGGACAGAAACAGTATCCCTAACCCTAATTCTAACGACAACAAAAAAGGAGCTGACAAATCATGGAAAGATTGCATTGAAATGGACAGGCTTCCAACAAAACTGGTTTAAAGATAGAAGTGACAGTATTTCTTCAGCTTCAGAAAGTAAAATGGGGAGAGATCCCATGCATAGGAAAATGATGAGCAGAAATGATGTCCAGAAGACAGGAGAATGGTCAGCTATTTTCTGGAGATTGTGAAATCTCTAATGATATTATTGATGATCTATTTCCAAGCATATCATCAAATCTGTCCTGAAAATGCTGTTGTGGCATGGAGAAGCTCAGCATCGTAAGCAGAGAAAGAAGTGGTATGCATTCTCTACTTTGACAAAGAAAAGTATCCAGGCATGCAAAAAGGGGTGCTTATGGACAGGGTCTTGATTAGAAGGGTCTTGTTGCATTCTGGCCCTATGGGGAGCTTCCTTTGGCTACTCAGTGCTCAGAATATTGGACCACACCAACTTTGATTCCACACAGCTCTCCTTAGGTAGTTATGAGGCTCCCCTTCAGCCACCATTAGTTGTAGCAAGCCAAAACTGAGTGCATTCGGAGAATGGGCTAATGAGGGTTTCTGGCAAAAGCCCTCTCCTGGCTTCTGTGGCAACATGATTTGAGCTAAAAGGCAATGGCTGGAGCAGGAATGCTTGATCTGATGACTAATCAGAGTGACAGGAACTCAGGCCAAAGCACAGCAACAACAGGCCTGGGCTTATATTATTTTAAGCCAAAGCACAGCCAAAGAGAGAAAGGGTGGTAGCTGGGTTGTTGTTGACATGCACTTCTCCAGGATAGGCTGAAGGAACTGAGCATCCTTTCAGGTGAGAAAACAGACAGACATCAGGCAGATTTCTTAGAGCAAATCCAGGAACTTCAGGGTATTACACTTACGGCGTGAGTGGACCTTGGTCAGCAAAAGAGTGTGGCCTGCGACCTAGCTCGGGTTACCCTCAACCAGACACAGCAGACACAAAGGCTTATGCCCAATAAAACATTTTAGCCTTTAAGGTGGCACAAAACTCCCAGTTCTCTGTAGCTGAGTGCATTCCTACTTACTGCTTGATTGACAGTCCCCATATTTCCCATTGTGAGGAACCATTTGTAGTGGTGCTAAATTAAGAGTTACCCTGTCGGTTCTTTGGTTGGCAGAGATGGACACCTATTCTGCCGGGTCCAAGAGGCTGTTGCGTACTGGTCTTCATTTTTTGGGGTTCTTCTCTATCTCTGGAGACATTGCAGAAGCTAGAAATGGAATCATCCCTGCCACATGAATCACATGTTTTTCAGTGGAGCGTTACACAGACACACCCACACACGACTGGAGTGAGCACAGCAGCCCG